ACGTCATGTGTCCCGCTGGAGGTCCCGCTTGAAGCCAGCAGCTCGGGCAGCGGCGACAAAGAGCTCCAGTCTGCAGCCAAACCAGCGACGTCGGCATGACCAGCGTCGTCAACACTAACGTCGTAAGGAGCACAATCACTGGCAGACGCAGCGCAAGCCTCTGTACCAAAAGCAGCCTGCATGCTGGAGGCCTGGACTGCCGCGAAGCCTGGACTAGCTTTGCTTGAGCCCCAACGGTACGCAGGAGGAAAGGGATGCGAGGATTCGAGGGCGAGAAATTCAAAAAATGGGTTTGTAAGATTGGTTCTGCAGGCTTTTCTATCTGCTGGTGCGCGCTACTTCGCCCCAGTACTGGGGTATAAACGCGCTGCGCTATAATAGACCACCGGGGCGACCGGGTATGTTTGTTTTTTTTTCTCCCATCATTGGACTCTGTCGTCTGCCCCTCTGGCCCCTATACTCCACTTCTACTAGCTAGACGACCCAACCGGGGTCACATAGGAGGGGGGGGCTGGACCCCTCCTGCGCGGTTCAATGCACGCAGGAGCGCACTCCTTCAACGACTCAGAGAACAGAGAAGCTGACGAGAAATTTACGAACCAGGTTCGATGTGCCTTGCTCCTCTTCGGTAAAGAACGCGGCATAATTACATAGCGTTCTGCTGTACAACCCCGCATAGATTTGCAGCAGTCAGAATAGCAAGTGGATCTTTCTCCGAATCACGAAACAGCAAGCACGTTGTCGCTTGTTCGCAAACCTCCTGCTGAGAAAAGCTGTGAGCCTGTTGGCGGTGCTGCGCGTGGACTACACGGCTGTATCGTTCACAATATGTACCGGTACCTGTTGTGCTGTCTGGTAATCTTTGCTCCTCCATCGGAGGATGATGTCCCGTGCACAGCGTTTCGACTCAGGGATTGGGCTGCGGCGGACTCCACATCACCTATCAACAAATCTAGAAGTGCAAGACCGACATCACGAGGTTGCTTTGCATGCTGTGCAGGTGCTGGTGAGTGGTGACGGTACTACTTTTTTTTTTTTTCTCCCGTCATTGGACTCTGTCGTCTGCCCCTCTGGCCCCTATCCTCCACTTCTACTAACTAGCTAGACGACCCAACCGGGGTCACATTGGAGGGGGGGGCTGGACCCCCTCCTGCAGTTCATGCCTGAGGTACTTTTATCGCGAGAAGGGTACAGCAATCCCTTCCGTCGCGACTTACGAAGTCGATTATGGTTTACTAACAACGAGCTTTGCAGCGCGTCGCTTTCATCCTAGACCAGGATATATTTAGTGAGAAAACAACTCACTCTCTGCCGGGACTCGAACCCATGACCTGGCCCTTAGCAGGCTGCGAGGTTACCCACTAGACCACCGGGGCGACCGGTATACTACTGTACTACAGTAAAGAAGGAAATGTGTCGGGGAAGATCTTCGTAAAGCGTTGCACCAGACGGCGTGGACCACATGCCGAGGTCGAGAGGTGCTTGTGCGCGTTGGGATGCTCTGTCCGCCGTGCAATGCATTCATACGTGTAATCGCAATAGATCCCTGCTGGTGATGATAGTTGTATGGGTTTTGGCGTTGGCATTGGTGTTGTTGACGTGGTGTCGTCGTACAGCCTACTCGGGTATCGCAGGCTCTACCCTGTGCGCTTCCGTGGTATGTGCCAGATGGCAGGGGCAGTGAAGCCCCCACCAACAAGTCGTGCTTTTTTTGGCGATGTGCAGAGCGCGCCACCCCTTACGAAATGATGGATAAGGTTACATCCGGCTCCCCATATCATAAAAAAAGGTTTAAGGAATGGGGTTTCCAAAAGGAACTAAGCAACTTGATTATAGAGAAAGGGCAAAAGTAAGCCCAAATGCACTTATTATGTACCTACAGCAGTACATGGCCAGAGGGGGATGCTATTCAACGGGGAAAGCGTATTGGTACTCATGTTTTGCCCCACACATGGAAAAAATACGGCATACGATCTATCAAGTATCTGCATTGTTTCGGCGTAGGAAGTCGGTCAATGACCCGCTTGATTCGCGGCCACACGTGGAGAACGGCGGCGACGCGCCAACGTACCTTCGAGGTCTAGTCGGTGAATCCGCTACAGATGCTGCTATCGCAGCTTTGTTATAAGAACACTACTGGAGTCGTTTCTGGCTGCCTTTTACTCTTGTTGAGGCATGCGACGCCACAATGCTACACCACATCGCTAGGCTCTGCCAATTTCGACGAGTGTGGGTCAGTAGCGAGCTGAATGTACCCGCCACTGGAACATAGGTTCAGGGCTTGTTCACGGAAGAAAATCTCGTCTGGGAGATGGTGCTCAAGAAGGAGCTTTCACACACCTCGGTCTACTAGGCCTCTCTGCTGATACGGCGCACACTTTACCCCACCGCATTGCTCAAGCTAGGGCGACTTCTTGAAATAATGTAGAGGTGTGTGTCTCCTACGACTCAGCGGGGTAGACGGGGAGTGGGAGCGTACAGTAATCCGGAGGGGCACCGCCAAGGATGTATTTTATGAATAGTTGAATTTTCTAAATTCTTGACATGCGTAACAAACAAAGCGGTAGCGAACACCCCAATGTTGCTGCTCCACGATCTACTGGTTTCCCATCGAATGCCAACATTGCGTAGGCTGGAGACCTTGCTTGTGCACCCACCGGGTCGCTGTTTGTCTTGGAAAACATGTTGGTGTAGTTTTCAGGCTTGATTGAGAGGGGGGGCGTGGACGTAGACTACGCAATATGCTCATATAATGGGAGCAAGTTTTCCTTTGGGGCTTCCTAACTGGTCGTTTTTATTGCTTGTGGTGTCGGTGGGAATTCATTCGTCGTTTTCGAAGTAAAAAAAAAAACAAGACCGATCTATCAGATTCGCGTTCTGTGTGGTTGGATGTGTCCCGAGAGTTAATTACTCCGTCGTAGGCAGGTTATATAGTGCAGCCCTGCAGGTATTGCGAGGGCGAAGCTTCTGTCCAATAATGCCGTAAGATCGAGCTCTACGTGGGGTATCTGTCATGCATGGCTCCCCCGCCAACGCCTGGAACTCAAGTAATGGAGTTACGATATAATCGATTTGAGATTATTTATTGTTTTGATGCACACAGTTGGGACTGTTGCACACGGTTTAGTATTTCCTTGAGATCTTATCCATGCAGACATCAAATGTTCGCAGCGTCGATATTTTGAAGAACATCCAACGACGGTTGGTTCCACGTTCGGCACATTGTTTGCATCGTACGAGCACTGTAGAGACACGCCGAGAACATCTATTTACTCTTGGAGCGAAGAAAGCAATACGGTACGTCTTGGACAAGGTCCACTCGGCACTGCTCTTCCTGTATCTCGTTTCTTACGCGAGCCAAACACCTGAACCCATCCGGCCAGAGAAACGTACGCTTGGTCGGGCCCTTGCACGATGGTGCACCATCCTTGAACAACGACGCTGAAGGTTTGCGCACATCTCGCCATGATGGGTCTGCGGTTCATTCGTCGACAAGACCACAACCGACTTGCGGATGTTTCCTGCCCAGAATCCCTTGACATTCGCCCCACTCGCCTTTTCTCTGGTCCGCGTTCTGCTCCTGCAGAGGTCGCGGAAGATCCTGTACCAGATTCCCCATACTGTCCCGTCGAAAACCGCTTCAAGCAGAGGCAAGCCCCAGGGCTAAGCCAAAGCAACGGCGCAACCTGTGAAGAAGTCCCTGTGCAAGTGAAGAATAGCTCCGGCGCAAGGATCGCGATTTTCTGGTTGGATGCGAACGATCGAGAGGTGAGCGGAATACATAACCCAATTGCTTCGCGTTGAGTTCGTCACGATTGAAGCCGTGAGACGACAGCCAGCGATATTCACAACGGCAACGAAACATGATCGAAGAACCCGACTTGGCACCTTGAAATTAACGATGCACGTGTCGGGCCCACCTACTGCAGTGATTAGAGCCAACCAACAGAGGTGTATATGGCGGAAAGAACTTATTGCGCATCGGCAGGTGCTGACACATGCTCGCCGAAACCCTTTCCCATGTGTTTTGGCTGCGATACTTCATCTCAGGAGTTTAAGCAATCTATCGGGTTGGAGGAGACGAGAGTCGTACTAGCGTGCCGAGGTCATGTCTGGCGAGCCCGTGATACTTCTTCCGGTTCTCCTGGGCGGCGACGGTTGTTGTCCGAGATGACAGTTCCGCCCTCCGTTCAACAAACATCGTCCAACTCGGGTTCTGCTGATATCCCTGCAACTGCTAGCTCTAACAAGGAGGAGGTTGCCGGACATGGGTATCGGTGGGAGGTGCTGGCGTGCGTTGGCTTTCCACTTCCAAAGGCCTTTGACGTGGTGTCTTCCCTTGGTGGTCTCGGGCATTTCGAGCTGTCTAGGTATGAGAATCGTGAAGTCTATCTGTCTAGTTAGGTAGCTCATTTTGATTGTTTCTTCGTGAAGAAAAAAGAATCGTACTTGCGTTATCTGGAAAGGGAAGTACGAATATGAACAATTCGTTCAAGGACGAGTAGTCCCCCGTTTCGCTCGAACCGCCGGTTGCCGCGCCTTGTGTGCTCGACAGTCGGATCGGCGTCATGTAGCAGCCTCTCCCCCGCATCGGCACTCCACCCTTCCTCTATTGTCGTAACCACCTCATTTAGGACTCGACAGCCACGTGTGTGGCCGTAGTGTATCGCACGTCTGACTCTGGAAACGTGCCATTTTGCTGGCCCGCGCGGCGCTCCCACTGGCACATGAAGGGGAGCTCTCGGAAGGGGCCTGACAGGTCTCCAAGAGGCGACCGTGAAGCAGAGCACGGACATAGAAGGGTTGGTCTCCATCACCCTGGAAGAGGCATTCGTGGGGAAGGATGTCGCTGTCGACATCCGGCGACGAGTGAGTGATAAAGGGGGAGGATTATCGGTTAAGATTCTTTCTGCGTTGTCGAAATAGGGCGATTACGGTTCGAATTTATGTCGTCGCATGAGAGCTGCGTCGTACAAAACGAGCAGTTGACAGAGATTGCTCTTGTCATTGGAGGCGCTTGTGGCTCGAGCGAACTGCGAGTCTTGCTGGTCAGAGCTACCGTGAAGCGCGCCGTCGTCCACTAGTGGGTGCGTCGGTCTAAGAAGCCGGAAATAATTGAAAGTTTCGTTTTGCGTGGCATCCAGGGGTTCATTCTCTCGATCAATAGTCCGCGAAACCCCAAACGCTCATATCCCCCATATGCTCGCTGTTTTTCAAGGTCCCATGTCCAGAATGCCACGGCTATGGAGCGGCCTCATTTGTTCCTTGTGACCGGTGCGGTGGGTCAGGCAGACGCATCCACGATATTAGCCTCAGCAGCGAGGACACCTCTCCAAGAAGCATTCCAGTCATGGAACACGGTGCCAGAGGTTGCGGCAGCAGCGGCGAAAGCGGAGAAGGCGACCCCAATACGAACTCAACCGGCAGCGCTTGTGTCGCCCACGAGTGTGGCCATCGTGATGGGCTCGGAGGAGGTGTCTATCGTGGTAGTGGGTGCTACGCAGGGCATGTCAGTTGCAACGGAGAATCAGACCCTCCGTGTCGCCGCCCTGAGGGAGAAGACGTGTGTGTGGAGCGGGCTGCCACGGACGACAACAATGACGAAGGGGGAGCCGCTGAAAGACTCAGGCTGACGCGCACCGCTGACTGCGCGAGGTGTGGGGGCTCCGGCATGGTGCCCACCCCGTCTGCAGACGGGGGGCCTCCGCTATTCTGCTCGCGATGTACGGGGGCGAGGTTCGTGGAGGAGACGGTGAACTTGGTTCTGACAATCCCTGCCGGGGTAAAAAACGGCCACACAGAGGTTTACCGAGGCGAGGGCCACGTTGACTTCGGCGGTAAGTCTCATCACCCGTCTGTGCCCTCCAACCGACCCATATTATGAGGAAATTGCGAGATAGACACGGGAACACGGTTACTGGTCTCGAGCGTACATGGGCGCACGAGCATTGCTGGTCACAAGAGGTGATGTCGAAGGGTTGTGCTGGGGAGCTCCACTTCGGTTTACTCAGTCGTTCAATGTTGGCCTTCCAACCTGAACCATGTTCCCACCGGTTTCACTTCACATCCCAGCAACACAGGCTCACGCGCGCGTCGACTTGCTCCACTATGCGCGTTTTGGGTTCCAAGAGGGGACGAGGGAAGGCAGCCACCCTTGCTCAGACGTTCTTGTGCCCTCGCACATCGAGTATCCCCGTATTTTTCGCCCATGTTTCCTGCCGCATGAGCATTGCTCCTTGCTAGTGGCGCTGACCCATGCTTCCTTCCCCGGCGTACCATCGTGCCATTTCCACGACCTTCCTCAGATCTGCTTGATACGCAAAAGCCGAGGGCATCGAGTGAGGAGGCCAATATGAGTGATGCGGACGCCGGCAAGGCCTCAGGTTCATCACCCGCTCCTCCTCCTTGTTCTTCCCGTCCTTACGAAGGCGCCTCGTCCATTAAATCTCAGTGGGCTTCACCCACCTTCTCTCCTTCTTCCTCCTCTTCACCCTTTTCCCCTACCACTTCACCCGGGTCTTCAGAATCGACACCTGGTGGTTTCTACGCTTCACCTCCAAAAACAAAATTGAAAACTGGTAACTTTCGGCTGACAGTTGATGTCTTGCCCCACCCAGTTTTTTCACCCGCGGAGGAAGGAGGGGCAGACCTGCACGCAACGGTTTCCATTTCCGTGGCGGAGGCATTGACGGGCTTTACCCGGGAAATCACCGGCTTGGACGGCTCCATTGTGACGGTCAGGTACGACTGCACATGCTTAATGGTGACCTTGGAATGCTGTTCCACACTGTAAAACATTGTGGGTCAGGCTGCAGTGGTACCGATGGCGATGGTGATACCGTCAAATGCGATAGTCCAACAGCCGCTTGCCAACGTTGGACTCACTCCCCTCTGGCGTTCCCACCTTTACAGGCGGACGAGTCGTACCCTACCGGGCATGACGCTCCGCTTCCCTGGCCTAGGAATGCCGGTGTACTCTCAAGCTAAAAATAAACGTTTCGATGAAAGAGCGGGGAGCGCTCGACGGTCGGGAAGAGAAGAAACCTTGCAAGGACGGGCTTCGCAGGTCGTGGAGGAGGGGAGCGAGGGGCTTAGAGATGGGAGAGCTCGTGATAGGGGAATGTTGGAGCATGGCGACCTCGTGGTCGAGGCTTTGGTAAAGCTCCCAGTAGGTGAGACGATATGCCTGAATTTTCCGGTGGAATTGCCGTAAAAATCTGGGCGCCTGCGCCGTGGCTGCAAAAGCAGGTTGGTAGGACTTCCGCAGGCAAGGGAAGTGAGTGTTGAGTGTGCATGGTAATCTACGGGGCAGCTGTAATGACCTCAGAGGTGTAGTGGGCAAAGAACCGGCCCTGTAGGGCCTTCTTTCATGTCGTGATAGCTGCCTGAACTGGAATTCGAACGCCTTTGGGATGATCCTTCCCTGTGACCCCCACCTGCCCTGCGCGCAACGCGGTCTCCCGCCCCCCCCCTGTTTCTGCATTTTTGGCCAATGGATCTCGCTCTATGCTGGTTATGGTTCACTTTGACACACCGTTGTATGCGTCTTGCGTCCAACCACCGCCAGGCATGAACGCTGACCGGTCCGACTTTATCGGATCGTTCCTTAAGGCCGGGACCAAGTCGACAAGCGGGGAAGACAACACCAACGACGATAATGATTGACCAGCGTGTCCAGAGGGCTGACGTAGCAATGGGCACCGGTGAATAATCATGGCCGTGAAACGATTGTCGCAGACACCAGGAGTGCACGCGGTTGGTCTTCTGGGGGGGTGGTCGGAGGCGGTGGTTGATTTACAATGGAAAGAGCTTCTGAAAACGATACATGTGTTCGGTAAGTATCTTGCGTAGGTTCGAGTTGCTGAACGCTCGCGTGTGCAAAGGTAAGGAGTTGCATACATATTGACGGGACGGTAACTGATAACAGATTGTGCTGCTGACGTGCGGTGATCTCCAACAAATTCTCGAGTCGGAGACACGGCCACGCGAGATCGAGAACTATGACTTTACGGCTCACATGTTATCTGCGTGGTGACAATGTTCATGATTATGAGAGGGGGAAGCACGCCACGCGATGGTAACTGTGCTCCTTCATCTCTTACTCTAAAGCATGTGAAACGGGCTCTGTCAGCCACTTGGGACAATCCTTCACGAGTCCCCAGTTTCACAAGCATTGGCATCGAACACAGTATACCCGAACAACCATCAGGGACTGTAAGAAAGTATCCGATCGAGCTCCGAAATACACTACCACGACTTTTTGATCCACGCGGCAAAATACACTGGCTCGACCCAGTTGTGTCAGAGGGAAGCAAGAGCCGTGCATTCACGACGTGTATTCAATACCACATTTTCCCTACACATTCGGTGCCTGTTGGTAACGGTTTCATACGTTCCTGTCCGAATGTCAAACAGACCGGACTGTTCCTCGCACGGATTCGCCTACAATCTCCAGAGCAACACACGGACGTGGAAGCGCAGGAGAAAACCACCCTTTCGTTACCGATATTCATCACGACAGCGACAAATGCGGCCAACTTGGGTAAGCTCTACGGCGGTCGAAACGTCAGTAACCCCCACGCGGTAACCTCGTCATTTGGAACGAGCATAGAAGGAATTGTGAGGGGAAAAGAAGTTGGCCCCGGAAAACGATAGGAGTTCTTCCCATTAGGGGGAGAGAACAGATACTGTGGGGGCAGCCGTGCTCCTCGGCCGGTCCATGCTGCTGCTGGCGCTACGGCCATGGCGTCTTCCTTGTGGTACCGTTCCCGATCCCTGCTTTTCCGGAGACAGAGCGTTCTTGGCTCTCTTCTTGTACAGGTCGAACTTGTCTTCGATATTGCCCCGCTCGAGGGTTTCGAGCGATTTCAACCCCCCGCTGCCTCTCCCTTGAATTTGGTTTGGGCGCCAACGGAAACAAACGTATAGTCGTTTCTTGTTGCTCGAGGGGCAGCGGCCAGGGTGATTCAACAATCGCACTTCCGAAACGGACAACACCATATTTGAACTGGTTTCGATAATCCAACTCAACGAAGTGTTGAGCAAGTACCATTCGCCGCCACTGTGAAACTTTGCTTACATTGACGACGAAGTGGCTACTGCGACACAAGTGCCGTATTCTACATTCTTGACGGCTCCGGCACTTATCACCAGTAGGCGCATTTGGGGACACTCCGGGTTCGTTTGAATGTGCACAACACTGACAGCTGGGTCAGCTTGCAACTCGCCCAAAACAACCTAGCATCAACAATGCGTAAAGAACGCGCCTTTTTTGCGGTTGTACAACTGCACCGCATCAAATCTCTGCGAAACGTGGCCCCGACATACCCGAAACATATGTAGAGCCCGCTGCGCTACCGTACTGCCGTAGCCGCAGGAGAGTTGGGCTTCCCGTAAATCACGAGGGATTATTGCGACATGAAATGAGCTGCATTCGGCAGGACGATGGAAAGAAGGGAACACAAAGATTGGCCTACGTTGTTCCTTGCAGCAAGTCGATGCAAAAGACATACCGAATCGGATAATTTCTACGGCAGTCACTCACTTGCTTCCCTTCCGTGGTTGCTAGCCTTCCTGACGCCAGAGGTGGATGGTTTCCTCGATTCAGACGGTGTTCGTCGCGGACTGGTGAGGTTATGCCCCCGTGGCGTGGGCATGCCTTCCTGAATCACAGGGAGTTCCGCTATTCTCCTGAGAGAGACCAGGGGGAGTAAGAGAGCTTTCGATCACGCGGCCGGTGATTTGATCCTGTACTACAGTATGCCGTTGCGACGATGTTACATCCGGGTACGCGCAAAGGATGTGATGGGTTCGTGAATGGAAGGTCGCTGAGGGCCTCAACCTGACTGTTTAAATAGACCGCATCCAACGTGGGAGAGCGTTAACTGTATTAGGTTGTAGTGTGGTTGACTTGATATAGGATGTTGGTGCACAGTGCCGGATGTTCCGTCAAAACTGTATCTTGCACCGCCCAAGCTATCTGAGCACGGCATCATGAAGACACAACGCTAGCCTTGCTGCACACAGCGTATCATTGTCCTGACGTACGATCGTTAACGAGAGGTATAACGACGAAGCCGTCACACGGAGGTCCTACTTCAACGCCAGTATCTACTAACCTGCAGGCCCCGCCCAAGTGTGTTTGTGGTAAGGTGCCACACACGCCCGCTTCTTACTGCCAACACAGAACCTCGTGTTTCTCTCGCTGAACCTCTTCCTGGTCCCACCCTGGCGCCTCTCAATCTTCTCCGCCTCCGAGCCTTACCTTGATCCTCCTCCGTTGCTATCTCCCCTCCTGCTCCTCCTTCTTGTCTGGGGCGAAGAGGAAGGAAGAGGTAAAGGCGGCGACTGCACAGGGGATAGAGACCTCGAAGGAAACCGAGAGCGGGAAGGGGAGCGGGCGACATCCCAGCCCCTATCACTACCGCCAGTAGGCCGCTCGTCCTCATCCGACCAAAACAGGCCATCCCCGTCGCTCCCGCTCCCTACAGAGGGAGGTGGTGACCCGCCGCTTTGTCGGCCGCGGCTGGGTCGGCGGCGACCGTGGTGGTCGTGGCGGGGTTGGTTGCCGGCTGCAGAGGTGGGCGAAAGTCGGCGAGGGGTGCGCTCTGGCTCCGTAGCATACGCGCTGCTCCTGTCGCTGCTGCTGCTGCTGTCAGAGTCCGGGAATTCGCTCCGCCTTCGGCGTGTTCTAGCCTGTGCCACGGACGTTGAAAGGGTTCCAGGTGGAGGGTTGTGTGGCGTAAACCCGGGACGGAGCTCTTTGAATGGCACACAATGCGCCGAGGATGTCTTACGAACATCCAAATGAGGTACATAGATCATTTCGGAAGGTGTTATAGTATTCTCGAATATGGAACAATGTTAACGGCACGGACACCGTTTACGTGACTGCCTGCATGGTTTATTACCGCCGGGATGACTGCATCGCCCCATTGTCGGTGAAACTCCGACGCCAATGCTTCACCTCGCTTGTCCTCCGTGCGGAAGATGTCGATTGTTTTCTGCGGCTCCGCTTGGCTTTCGTCATCCGGCTGATACCCGTATCACCCCGACCTCCTACAAACCATCTCCTCAGCCGCACCAATATCGAATCTCCGGTCTTGCCCTTCTTCTCGTTCGGTTTTTCACCACCCCGCCATGATCCGAACGAGCTCAACCATCCACCCGTCTTCGGTGTTTTCCTCGGAGGTGGTGCCTGGGATATCACCTGCTTGACAATAAAACACCCGGTGTTGTTGAACAGGGTTCGGATTTACGTCCTCAATCGCACGTTCCTGGATAGGGTTCAACGTCATAGGTAATTCTACGGATGGACAGCGACTCGGCGTGCGTATCACCCCCATTATTCTCACGTACCTCTCTCATGTCGGACTCGGACACACCGGATTCCTTCATACGGGCACCTGTTGCGCCTGGGACCTTTGTCGGAGACCTGAATCGAACGGTGAAGGTGCCATCCCCGTCTCTTGACACCACCTGGTGTGAAACGTGCCCGCCAAACACGCACGAGTGAGGCGGTTCGATGTCAGTGCTATGCAACACTCAACGCCTTTCGTCTTCCATTAAAAACCGGCTCTTGTCACGGTAGGATAAAGCACTTCGATAGTGGTGTTTCGATGTGGATTTCGTCCAACCTGTAGAATATTCAGTATCGATAAGAGCTTTTCACTTAAGCCAGAGCCAAGGGAAAACTGGGAGGGTAATGGAATGGAGGTGCGACTGAGGTAGGCATGTGCCGCTGGTGTGGTGATCCCGTGGTCGTGAATTCGATTCTTCTTGAGGAGTTTCCTGTGAGGGGCGGAAAAAAAAAAATCACGGTCGCTGCTTCGACGCGCTAGACACGCGCTTCGAACGGTTTGAAAACCATTCTCTGAATGGACACCTGTCTCCCGATGTATCTCGCTCTGCAAAGCCTCCCACTCAACACTTTTAGGGCGATTTCGAGGATGTTGAAGGTATCACTTCGGCTCCTCCGCACGTCGGATCTAGCAATCCGGAAATCACAAATTCAATAGGGTACTGACCAAGGGGAATGGCCTTGATTATTCGGTTCTGTCAACCCACGGTTTGGCGATGGGCCCCTATCGTGAGGGGGCCAAAAGCGACCAGCATTAGAGAGTGGGTGCCCAACGATTGCCTTCCATGAAACAACAAGCTGCCTCATAGTCGAGTCCAGAGATTGTCGGAAATCCAATGACCAGAGGCAGTGTAGTTCCAGTTCTGAAAGCCGTGCGGGAGGAACACGCGATGAGTGAAAGAGGCTGAAACGGTTTCTACGTCTGAGGTGAGAACAATCACATCCACTTGAAGCAGAAGGAGCAGAGAGCCCGGCTGCGCTGCCCGCACGAACTTTCGGTCGCTCGCACGGCGAGCATCTAGCGTCATCTGTCCTAGTGGTACGTGCCAGTGGTGCCTATTCCGCTCTGAAACACCAATACCCACGTAGCAGTGAGGGATGGTGTGTGACGGCCACAGCACTCGCGGGGGTGAGCGTAAAAGGTTTTTAGCTCGGAAGAGGGGCGACGCCAACAACAAGACTATCGACCGCCTGTTTGTAGTGTTTCCTATTATCACTGCTTCCGAGTGATGATGTTTTTCCGTTCTCTTCTCTCTGCTATATCTGATGATGGCTCTCTTCGAAATGGCCTGGCTTGGCTTGTCGGTGTTTGAGAGCACACGGTTGGATAGAGTCCCGTAGCAAGGATTAACGATAGGGCTGAATCGACCCCTCTTCACCTGGGCAGGGACCCAGTCCACGCGACCCCCCCGCGATTCAACTCTGAGTTCCACAGCATCCCCCGACTGGAAACCTCCGATCTGAGCCAGCTTTCGCAAGTCCTTGCGGGCGGTAATGGACGGCCGTGGTGAGGGGTATGGGAAAGCGCAACCAAGCTATCTTGTGAGGAGTCGGCGAATGGTGCACAGTGTTGTGGATGGGAGCGTTGTAAGCGTACATTTGAATGATGTTTTGGCGAGCCGTAGTCACGATGCCGCCTGTGGCAGGAGATAGAAAAGGCATGACTTGCACCCTCCCGAAGGGGTTGTTCTCACAAGTTGCTGTTCCCCGCACCAACAAGGACGAGCGTGCCTCTGCCACCATTTACGCATCTCGGAGAGCCCCTTCTTACGCCAGTCCCGTAAGATCGAGCGCTCAACCTTATTCTTCTATCGTTATCCGCTTGTGTGCTTGTGTGAGTCCCTGCCCCAGTGCCGTTCGAATCTTCTCCCTTTCGCGTTTACTCTCCACGTGGTTGTATCCATCCTTGACCTACGTGCTTGGGTCTTTAATCCTCGCCGTACATGCTCACAAGCGAGTCCTCGTTTCTCTTGGTTATTTCATCGGCTACCCCTCGATGTTTAGTCTACCATTCCTGCTTTCGGTGTGGAAAATCCTTTGTGGCTGGACGGCTCTCCCGACCAGGGCAGGAACGTCATTTTTGTACCCTTAGAGTCCAAGCGTACCTTCACCCTCACAGTGTCTACCCTTAGACCAGAGGCCAAGCGTACCCTCACCCTCCTTCTTGTTTCGGTTCCTTCTTCTATCTACGTACCTTGAAGAGCTCGTCGTAGTTAGCCTTGTCATCGCTTCCTTCTATCCGTGATCTCACGAGGAAAACGTCGTGCACTTGCTCCGCCGTCACCTCTACGCGTACGCGAAAGCCGCGCCCAATTTTCGATTTCGCGGCATTGACAGCAATTGAGTTCATCACACCACGGGGATCGGAGAAAAAAATGTCAAAAGAGGGGTCTGACGGGCGGTGAATTAGGGCATGGAGATGTCCTAGAATCAGTCCACTGCTAGTTTACGCCCAGTCTCCGCCGGGAGGAAAATGATGGGAACGATCGAAGTAGACTTTCTTCGAGATGTTCGTACTCAGACTCGTGATGTGTGGAGCAGTGCGGGTGCTCTCCTCTCGACAAGAATGCAATATTTTACCCCTCACCGCGACGCAGATACGGCAACAGAATATCTGCGAACAATACACAGGCAACCTGCCGCCTCCAACGGCACAACGCTGGAAGCCGGCAGGGAAAGAGTGCCTACTGCTGCGCCATGGAGATCGACGGTCAATGTTTACCTGGAGCGAGGGTTTCGATGGCATTGACGAAGCCGTCCTCATCTAGACACCGGTAGTTGCCGTAGTCCTGCGCCTCAAATGCGGCAAAGTACGCTTCCTCCCCCTCGTCTCGCAACACCTGCGGCATGTTCCACACGCGCCGGTCCATTGAAACCGCATGACATCGATTCATTCTTACCTACAGCTTGTGGTTGCTGTATATATTGCATAACCGGTTCGACCTGTGTCCGATACCGTCTAGGCCAACTTGAGAAACAGGTTAGGATAAGAAACACGCAAGAAATCCCGTTGGTTTCGCTGCTGTTGGTGTTGCTGCTGTTGCTGCTTTGGGCGGTGTACCGAGATCATCAACAATATTGGCTACGGCAAAAATGGTCATCTACCCAAGTCCTGGTGGTCCCCCTATTGAACCAAGCACGCGCAAATATCAAACCTCCGATAGATGCACGAGTACGACCCTCGCCCTTGCGAAGAGATCCGTCTCCTCTTCCCCCGCATCAGCGTTCCTCGCATGCATGCCCGCTTTGTCCCCGGACGGTAGCCTTCCGGAAGCCCTTTTCCCGGTGACAGGGTGCCGTGCAGGTTTGTCGGCGACCACCGGAGCGGCAGGCGCAGCGGGTGCGGCAGCGACAGCCGTGCTGATCTCGGAGTAGCGGGGCAGCGGGGCGTTGAAACACCCGCTCGCGCCCAGGAAATCGACGTACCTCACCTGTCCACGCACCGCCCACCGCCTGTACAAAACCTTGCGGTCGGCATGAGTTAACTCTGCCGCCTGGCTTGGTCCTTCACGCTTGCCCCCCCGTGTGCCGGTGCCACCACCGCCATGTTCGCTGTCGCTCGAAACCCACGCCCGTAGGCATTCCGAGAATGTCTTCACCGAGATGCTCCCGGAACGTTCTGGGTCCCGCAAGAGCAGCAGGGCTTCCAGCTCAGGGCCTCGTCTAGAGATGAGAGTCGCAAGTTTCTCTTGTACAGCCGCTTCAACTCCTGGGTCGTTACGGCCTATGGAACGGTCGTTGTCGAAGGCATGGGGGATTGCGGGCTTCAGGGGTAAGGGTGGTTGGCCTTTGTTGGCCACCAAGAGTTTCCTGTTTGTGTTGCAATTGGTACGATTTTCGGTTCTCGTCAAAATATTTTCTCCGCAAGCTAATGATCCAGGCATAGAGACCCACACGGTGTCAACGTCGACTTTTAGTCTAGCCACACCCATAGCCATTCATTGGGCCCAATCCAATGTAGCACACCATGCCTACGGATGATGGTAACAGCCACGTTGCGCTAACCAAACATTGGGGCCCAAACCACATTTCTGTCATTTTCCCACACTGAGGTATTCCGGTAGTCGTTTTCCGTACCAGGTTGGTTGGCGAATCCCGTTGTTCATGAACTTTCTTTATTGAGCAAGCAATTGAGCACACAACTCCGTTTCTAGTGGAAGGCTGAGCAATCGAGATTTGGGTACCTTGAGTAAAGATGGAGTCTGTTCTCCCTGTGCCCCGACGGTTCTTCCCCGCCCCCCAGCCGTCGAAAGGCGAGCCTCCCTCCGACGCAGGCGAGTCGTCCGATCGGGATAGCATTAGAGCCGTCGCGAAGAAAGGTTTTGGGCGCTTTGAAGACGCCCCGTGTGGTCGAAGTTGGTGTTGGTTGTATTTGACACGTTGTCCGTGGGGTCGTGCAGGGGATCAGCGTTCGGACACGCGGAGGGGGGCACAGAACAAGGGGGGGGGTGCACTCATAGTCGTGCATGCCGTAGTCGTTAGACCATTGACCTCGCATCCCTACAAAGCCGGGACGGAGCACGCCGGGTTCTCACCGGACCAGGCTCTCACATCACCAAGCGCGAAGCGCCGTGAGATATTCGGCGAGTCGCATGAAGGGTGCGCTGCATCCTGCTAAGGGTGTTCGGCATCTTGTGCTTATTTCCTTGGGTACGGATAACAGCTGCGTAGGACTTAATTTATTTTCTGGTGCTTTCACTTCCAGAGACAGTTGTAAGCACTGTGTAACTGCCTCGAGGGTGCTTGACCATTTTAACACAACGTGGTGCGATCATCCCCCTTGCGCGGAGTGAGGGTTCTCCACCCCGCACAACATGATCTACTCGACCACCATTATGGTTACCGCAAAAAAAAAACGAGGTAAAAAAAAAGAAGACGGTAACCTGGTTGCCGAGTTCACCACGTGACTTGACTTGTTTTACAACGTCGTTGCCAAGCGACGAAAACCCAACCCCGATGGCAAACACAGAGGGGGGGACGGCGGCGAAGAAATGAACACACCGGTCAATCCGAAACACGGATGGCTGCGGAATTTGTCCTGCACATGACAAAACATCTGCAGCACCAGCTGTATGTGGCAATGGATCTTCGACGATAATTTCCCATGTCGTCGACGACCGCATATCAGAAACCATCGTCGTGTATTGGCCGCAGGTGCCGCATCTGGCCAAAAAAAAAAAAATGTTGTTCCCCCTAGGGATGCGAACGAGGCGAGTGTGGCCACTCCACTTCGACATCGGGACTGGTGCACAGTCGCGGCACCATGAGAGTCGGCCGCGAGTTAGGGCGAAGCCGGCACTGTTTTTATTCGCCACACACCTGTCCCGAGGTACCCTGCACAGGCATCGTGGATGCTAGTCCACCCGCTCTCGTGGCGGGACCTTTGCCGAATCGCCCTTGCAAGAACCAGACATCAGAAAGGGAGTGATGATTATCAACGACAACGATTCTCGTTATGGTGGAGGGAAAACGCAGGCGGTGACGATTATGACATCGTTCATTCGAGAGGAAAGATTGTTGCGAGTTGCTAATACCAAGATCATGCCCGGTGCAGACACCACGCGATCGTCAAGGACGACCATGGTGCGGCATGAACGCTGTACTCCACAGCGGCACCCCGTGTAATCAAGGCAATATGCCAGCGATCCCTGTGGTCTGGATGTCCGACGAAGCGGAACGCCGTTGGCGAGGATGCTTAGATTGAGCAGGGAACAATATCATGCTGGGCATGATGAGCACGACATCAACAAGTATATTCTCTCCATGTGCAGGTGTGTGTACGTGTGTGTGCGTGCATGCATGTGTACGGCGATGTGTAGATTTCACGTGTCTCGTCACCTGCAGAACGCGTTGCCGCTAGAGCGCCGGTTAGGCCCATTTTTAGACGCTCTCTTGACTGCGCCTTGTGGCGGCAGAACTCAAGGAACTATTTTGGGTTGGATGTTGGGGAGCAAGGCGTTGGTATCGGGGCGGACAGCACAAGGGGTTGGCCAAGGAAACCGTCGGGACGCACCACGTCTGAATGTCGCATTCGGCACGAACTTCGTTGAGCTATTGAACGAGTCCAGTCAATCGAGCTAACGACCCTTTTGGATACGGCAATAAAAAGTCTCTCTAACCGCGTGAGGGGTCGCTAAAAGTATTCCGACCATTGCCAGCGTTCTCATATCCGTTCAAGCGGGTGACGACATTTCTACACCTTGCCACAATAGATGGCGCTTTGGCCGTTGTCCTAGAGAGCGCCTCGCCTGCCCCAGCATACTCAAGAACTCTCGTGGCAAAGCTTCGGGCAAAGGCAAGCACTCACGATACTTAGTCCTCAAACTGTGTACAAATCAACAAGCAACCTTGCACAAGAATCAAAAGGGCTGCTACCCACCTCTCCGTAGTCGACGCTCTGGTCTACTTCCCGAACGAAACGCAGCATGAGGAGCTGCCTGTCCTCGCGCGGCATGTCGGGAAAGCTTTCTTTCAAAGCGTCCTGTTCGTTGCGATATGGTAGCGGTGGCGGTTGCCGTGGCAGGGCAAAGGACGAACGGTAACAACGAGGACAGGGTCGACGACAGGTGTCACGCGCTCGCGTGGTCAGACCGGTGCACGCTCGTCGTTTGCAGGCGCAGGCGGCCTATGCGCAACCCTCACTGCATTCTCTGCACTTTTATTGTTTGCCTAGGATGAAGGTCGTGTGGTTGTTTCAACACGATGAGTAAGGAAGAACTCTGTGGTCTCTAGTGTAGTTCGCCGACCGACCACAAGAGTGAGTTTTCGGGGGGACATCGAAAAAAACGTCCTCTTGGTGAACCCACAACGAGGAAACGCTTGGTTGAATTTGTGGGTATGGTAGCGCGTTCAGGGCCAACTCCTGCCACCGTCAATCCCCCGCGACATCAGTCACATTCCCGCCAGTTCCTGACAAGCGACACAGCGGCAGCTTGCACGGGAGTTCGTTCATACCTTGAAAGCTGCCCCGCCCAACGCCCCTGTGCGGCCGGTGTCTCTGGCAACAAAGGCTTCCTGCAGGCCGTCTTTGACCTCGCCAATTCGGCACACGACGTGCTCGATGGCTTCTGCCATGTCATGCTTCGCTACTCCGTGCAAAACATCGGCCGTGTCGGCCCTCAGGGTGTCCCCGAGAACCGGAACCTGCGTCGGTAGTACCCCCAGAACACCACATGTCAATGTCCGCGGTGGTGCTCCTCGTTAATCATGCTGTAGGAACAATTCTGGCGTTTTCGGGCGCCGGCCAATCGTCGCAGATCTGGGATTGTGCAAAAATGGGAAGACGTCGAGCACGTTTCCTTACATGCACTATGCAATAAACCAGCATCTCCACGCCCTAACACGCTCTTGGAATTCATGTCTTGCAAGGTTGCTTCGCATTGTAAGCTGGCGAAGGTGCCGACATCACTAGACACTCCTCGCTACCGACCTCTTTGGCAATGCTGTCGAACGTTTCCTGGCACCCGCCTTGCCTAAGCAGCTCCCACTTGAGAGCTTCGTTCCGCCTCTCCTGAAGCTTTACGTTCACCTGTAATGTAGACATGCAAAGCGCGTAGTTTACAGATTTGTAGGCTGCATTGGTACAAGTTCGATGAGCTCAACTGCCCCGAAAGCAGGAGTTGAATCCTGAGACGTTGTTTCTATACTAGTCGTCCTTGAAAATACAACAACGGCCATGGATGGAGCACCTGCTCTGCAGCCACCATTTCTGTCAACAGCTCGTTCTGAAGCTGTGCGACGCTTCTCTGCTCTTCCAGCTGGTCCGCCCTTGCTCTCTCTTCCTCCACAGCCCTTTCCCGCTCTAGCACCAGCTGCTCAGCGGTTTTCTACAGGAGCATCAGTAACCCCCGATGACAGCAATGTGCAGGGCGTTACGACGCGTCCCATATACACCCCTGTTAGCACGGTTGGATTAGTGAACCTCCGGACGTTTCATGCGCTATGGACACAAATGATACGAAGTAAAAAACAAAAATCTCTTAGTTTCAATTTGGGGAGGAGCAGTGCGCGGCCAATCGTGGGCTGGGACTACGGTAGATCGCCCATCGAAAAGTGTAGAGCCCTCCTGGGTCATACTTGGCATGAATCAAATGCGAGTAAGGGGTCAAACGCTTGGTGCTAGCGCCCACAAGCAGGTAACCATCAACGCTTTGCACCGCAGCCGCACATGCGTTGCAACTGAATGTGCGGTCTTCGCGGGCGGGACGCATGTATCTGGCAGAGAAACTCACCGGACTAGCAGAGCACCAGTCGCACAATACGAAAGTTCGGAATGTATGGTAGGGGAAGACACGCAACCCCACATGCCATGCGAAGGACAGAACCTCACTCAAGAATGCAGAAGCGTCGAATTTGGGCGCCTCACCTTGACCGCCGCGTTGACCACGTATGACTGCTCTTTTTCCATCGAGACGATGTGGGCTTTGAGGGCCGTGATCTCTTCCTTCATCTTCGTGTTGCTCGAACCCTAATACGACGTCAAGTATCGCACAGTAGTGGCAGAGATCCACGATGATTTGCAAGGTGAAATCATGCGGAATGTTTGCTTGCTTGGCGGTAAACCTGAAGATACTTGTAGACTGACACCAACGCTTCTGCGTACAGTTGGCATGATAGCAATGAACACGCTCACCATGATGCTTTACTCGGCCTCCCGGCCTTGGGTTGCTAGGACATTAATCGATTGGGTGCCTTTTAGGCGTCCCGAGTTGGCCGCGATATCGAAGTTGGCACGAGAAGAAAAATGAAACGACAACAATTCCGCCGCATCGATCTTTGACCCAACTTCAAACCGCACACACACAGCAGCGTAGCACTGCAGGGCCATGAAGGCAGAGGGCGGCGGTCAAGTACGGAAGGGCACCCGGGTCGACTGCCTCTTCGGTGACGAGTATTTCAGAGGGAAGGTGGATGATACTGACGGCGGTGGCTCAAGCTATCGAGTGATATTTGACGACGGTGACATCCGAGAGGACGCACCACCGGAGGACCTGGAGATTCCGCTTGAGCAAGGGTGTCGAGTGGAGTGCATGTTTGAGGTTGGAGCACCTGTTGCGTTGCTTGCGATAAATGTATGATCGTGGGTAGGTCGTGTAGCTGCAGGGTGGGTCGGTGTCACATCCACTCGCGGGAGACATGGAGACAATTGGCACACACCTTGACAGTCGAGTAGACTTCGCGAGGTTCACGATATAGACTTTCTAGACTAGTCTATATTGCTTTTGATAGCGCGAAGCATTTCGGTTGCAAATCTCGACGCTACTGCTGCCTAGCTGCGTCAATCTGTGCCCCGCAGATGCTTTACGGATTGCACGGTATCGAAGAGAGGCCGACGCTTCTTAACGTGGTGATGAACCTTTGAAGCACATCTCCGAACGCGTCCATTCGAGCAGAGGACGGTCGTCTAAAACAGCTTTCACGAGGATCTTCGACACTGGCAGCATGCCATCTGCTAGCCGTGTTTCCGGGAAAGATGTCACAGCAGTTGTTGCCGTTCTTGCTGCTGCTGATGCTATTGCTGCTGCCGTGTTTACTACTTCGAAGTACTTTTTTACGTTTCTGTGATCTTGCTCGTCCCAGTCTTGGTCTCTCGGTGCCTGTAGGCCGAAAGGCCGAGCCGATCAACTGTGGTGTTCCATCCTGCCGCAGTCCCCAAGTCAAGACGTGGAATCTTTTATGGTACAAACATTACAGCGTTAAGCAGTACGTTGACGACGTGGCAAAGAATGGGCCAGGGCTAGAAAAAGGTCACATCAGGTACAACCGATCACAGTCCGTCCCGACCCTCAACGCGTATCCGACACCGGACACCATCGTGCTGAAAGCTTGTGTGAACAACGAGTTGAAGTAGGCCGACATACTCGCACGGCCGTCTGCTTTGGTCTCACTACGCATCTCAAATCACTTGTGATTTATTGCCACAAAATTAAACGCAGGGTGAGGACGGCTATTTCGATGGTGTCATCTCGACAGATAATGGGGACGCAACCTACAAGGTGGACTTCGACGACGGTGATGTTCTGGATGCTGCGCCACGCCATGACATTCGCGTGCTTTCCTGGCCGCACGAGGTACTACCAAATGTGTCCCATGAGACTCAGAAATAAGGGAATAGAAAAGCGCCGCTTTCTCTGCACCCGATTAATCGGGACACGACCGGGGGGATATTCACCTGCTGGGCATTCTTGGAAATAGTAAGACTTCATGGGGTTGATAGAAAACTCGACAGAAGGACAGCCACACCCCACATCCGTGACGGCCATGCTCCCCTCGTGCAACGACCTGTGGCCGCGACGTGTCTCTCACCTCACACCACGCCCGTTTACTCTCTCAAAACCCCTGGTATGATACTTGCAAGGAATCGGTACCCACCAATGCTGTGACAGCGGAAGACAACTATACCAACGTAACGGAGCAAGAGGGCAAGGCTTTGGACACCGGATACAGCAATCGCAGTCACAACGAGGCGGAAAGCGAAGGAAACCGCGAAGCGCAGAAAAATGACGACAATAGTAAAGGTATTAGTGCGGCCCATGGAGAGCTTCCTCCTCGAGAGGAAACGCACGATCCGCCCCACCGACCGCAGCGGTTCTCGGAAGTCGGCGGCAGCGAGGATGGGTACGGCAGGACGGGCGATGAACCGGCTGGAACAAGTCAACATGGATCGTCACCGAGACGCAATTCTAAGCAGAGAGATAAATCGGACACCAGCAATAGCGACAGCGTCAACTACGGTGACAACGGTATTGCGCAGGAAACACGGGATTGCGATTTCGGCCACGACATCTGTAGTCGTGTGAAGGAGACGCGCTCGAGCACCCGAAGTGGTGAAGAAGGTAAACCCCATTCTCACAACAACTCTAGACGTTTCCACTGACCTTCAAAGAGATAATAGGCGAAGAGGAGATCGACACCAAAGGGCCGGGCAGGTAGGGAGTATCGGCTTGTGTGTAAGGGAAATGTTGCAAAATAACGTCTCACTCGTGCCTGCTCCTAGACCTGCTGAAGGGTTGATGACACCTATTGTGGGTAACATACTCAACGTATTTCCCGCCCGTCACGCTTTTATGCTTTCGAAATATCGCCGAGGTTCTGTATCGATCAAGGATCCCTGCCGGAACCCCGATACCCCTTCTCCTGTGTTATTCCAACAACCTCTCTCCCTCCCCGCAAGACTCTTCCAACCAAACCACTATCCGTCCGCTACGAACGTGTGATATTTCTATGTGCTCCTCCTTTTACGTTCTTGCAGACCCCGGGTCTAGCTCCGGAGAACCGCAGCGCAACCATGATAGCTGTACGGGGCGGAACTTATGGGGGACACCGTCGAATCGGGACGAGCCTACCGCTGAGCTGGTGCAGGCACCTTCGCTGTACGTGCCAACGTCACCTAACCCGTTGCACGCGCACCTGGAGGCATTGGCGGCGGCCGCGCCGCATCTTCTCGCGGAGGCTCCGCCGGATTTTCGCCTCTCAGCCACTTCGCACCGAATCGCTGCTCTCGAGGAACAGCTGCGGCAGCAGGTCGGAGGGGTGCTGTGGCCTTGTGGCAAGGGTGGTGTAGGAGAAAAAAAGAGACGCATTGGTCGTTTCCAAAGGATCCTAAGGAAGAGCGCATCGTCGGCACAAACCGCAAAACTGCACTCGCACGTTGGGTTTCGTTCGTTTCGTGGGCATTGACACTTGAAGGAGCTATTCTCGTCGGCTACTATGGCATCGGTACGCGCTACCATGTTTTCGGTTTTGAGCCCTCCATGGACTTGGCCGTACAGGACGCGCCTCGAAACAGTCCGCCGCGAATGAGTTGCGATTGTAGAAGTATCTCGGCTGTCTCGACATGGGCAAAGGATCTCAAGACGGGCTGGCAGTGGTAGATTAGTCAAAAAACAGTTACCAGTTTCAGCAACGGGCAAAGATCTCGACAAAGAAATAACATGATGTGAATCCTCTGCTCCACATGCCACCTCGAGATACCAACTCTAGATGATCCATACCATCACCCTTGCAGCACCTTGATGCTTGCGAGGAACACTTAGTAGATCGCTTCTAGCACCATTTCGTTCAATGGCACAAACTTTATCGAGTCCAACCGTGTACGAATATTTCGTCCGTTGTTTTTTGGCAGGAAGCGAGAGGAGAAGCGTGGCACCTTCCTGTGTTTTCCGCTAAAACGCCGCTACATCCGGCGGACCCCTCGCTCTGCGGAAGGCCCGAACGGCAGGGGCGATCTATCCCAGAACAGGTGTCCGCCGAGGTTAACGACAGGTTTTTGGTTCTCTCAATGCACCGTCGGAAGTGCCGATACTCTCATTACGCCGACTCCCAAACATACCGGCCATATCGAAGTGGTTGCTCTACGTTTGTGTGACGTGATACATGCTTTTCCGTAAGCGTAAGGCTACCGGGAGCGGTGGTGAAGGTAGCTCGAGAGCGACCAAGGCGAGGGGAGGCGCCGCGGCACCGTCATTTCCCGCCCACACAGAGCTCCGTCAGGTGGTGGAAGACCTCTCGACGCTCCGCATGAAACAGGCAAGTGGCACACACCCGGATTTCTATCGCACGTTTCCCGCCTTGTGACTCAGGAAGTGCACAGCTTGCCCCTGTGAAATTGATGGCTGCCAGGTTCAAGCTACAAGCCGGACTTGGCGTTTGCCTGGTGAAGCGATCCGCATCTTGGTGCACACGTGCTGCAGCGCTGTGTACGGTTGTGTGGTTGGCGTTTCTCTAGGGACGCCACACGAGTGTCTGGCGAAAGGAGGCGTAGACACTACGGGTACAGGTTGACCCGCGGCGTGGCTGTACCCCATAAATAACAGCCCGCCTCCGAATGCATGAAAGGCTAGTGTACGGCTAACAATGCCCGCAAGAAACACAAGCTTATCACCGGAAGCAGGGAAACCGTCGCTGCCGCCATCATGATGAGTCGCTCGGTGTTCTCGTACATTGCGCAGATAGCTCTGGTGAGGCTATGCTACGGGGACGCTTCGCTGGAGATGGTCCAGGCAATCGCAGACCTTGCCGACGGCTACGCGAAAGAAGACCTTTGGCCCCAGGCAAGCAACAGTGTCGTCGTTGGGCTAAGTACCCTCCACAGGGAGAGGTGGCAACGACGATAACATGTTTTGTTGGCCATTGCCACCAGACCGGCACACTCCCACCTTCGAGGGGAAGACTTCCAGCGGCTGCAGGTCACGTTCCACACGAGTGCACCCATCATGGGTCGTAAGAAGGGCGAAGCGTCAGGGTGAGGACAGTGTAATGCCCCTTTTTCAAGTTGGGGATGAGGAGCCTACTGAAGTGCTCGCGGCCGTTCCGTCCGTCGACGAGCTGTTGCAGGTGTCGAATCACATGGCGAGGGCAGCAGACATCCTTGCGCGTGACAAGGGCTCACGTTTCCCGGGCACCGGGTTTTTCATTGCCGCAACCCCTGGTGGCGGAACCTACGTGGACCCCCGTTTGCGTTTCGAGGAGCACTCAGGTTTACGGGGGGATGAACCGAGAGGAGGGTGCACTGAAGGGCAAAGGGCACGAGGACTTGCGTTCCCAACAGAAAACAGGTGTTGTGCCAGGTTTGGAGTGTTGTGGCTGTGGTGGTGGTTGATGTGGTTGTTGTTGTTGTTGTTGTTGTTGTTGTTGTTGTTGTTGTTGTTGGTGTTGTTGTTGTTGTTGTTGTTGTTGTTGTTGTTGTTGTTGTTGTTGTTGTTATGTTGTTAGCGAAACGTGTATCGATTGCGTGGAGTTCGTCGGCGGGAAAATTCTCGGAGCCAATACGACCAGTCGGGTCATCGTCGAAAGCCCTGCAGCTTGAGTAGACCAAGAACCTATCTAGACACCCTGCACAAGCAACTCTCTAGATGTGATTTCAACGCAATGTGTTCTCTTTGCCTCTCTCCCACCATACACCGAGAACCCCCGTTGCATTGAAAGAATATAGCTTCCGTCTGCTAACTCCACGGCCATTGACTTGTACGCGTCGGGCATGGCAGGTACTCCGACCCGGCCTTGTGCCGCTCGATAACCCCGGCGCGAGCTGCACGCCTGTTGCTGGAGTTGTTGAAGGGCCTCAGATTGTCGGTGGTTGAAGGGGGTGAAAGGGGCCAGGTGAGGAAAGGTATGACGCTTGCTGATGGTCGTTGTTGATACAACCACCATTCACAAGGTGTTTGCAACTACTGCGGAACGTCAAACGGCGATCTCCCTTTAGCTCGCCCTCCCTCTAGACCAAGGGAAAAATGTGTTGAGCAATCATGAAAACGTTCGAGAATCCTTCAATCCCTCCCCCTTTACTGTATTCCCATACTTGTGCCTCCACCGATGGAAATATCCACCACCTTAGGTTGAGCGGGAAAAATTCGAGGTGTTCCTCTCGACGCATGAGGACAAGGCACTGCGATCTGCCCGTCCCCGGCTGCTTCTAGAAGCCCAGATGCCAGGCAACTGTGGGTGGGGCGCGGCCCTGGGTTGCTTACGGCGAAACTCGCCTTTCTTCAACGACCTAAACCTCAAGGTGACGGGGGACATAATCATTTAGCCTCAGCAGTGGGTGAGTGTTTCATATGTTGGGCGATTCTCTTTGTCGCACGAAATATGAAGGAACGCGTGACCTGTGTATTGTATTTGCCTGCGGACTGTGTAGTGTGGCAACAGTCACGGTTTCTACAATCATGCCGAGGATGACCCGGGTTTTGAAGCAATGGTCGGAGCTGATCACAAATCGTGCTGACTCCGGGCATGTTTCGCCCGTCCAATGGCCTCCATTCCCTTGCGAGATGATGAAGGTGCCCACATTGCCGCATGCACCATCAAAACGATACTCCGTTCTCAACTCAGCTGTTTCGACACCGACAACAGTCGTACAACGAACACAGGTATTTCTGTCACGTATTTGAACCTGCCCGTGTGGTAAATGCTCAAGGGCCCTGCTCAACTCCTCTCCCATTCGGAAGTGTTCGCGAAGAGAAGTACCGGAACTCGCGCAGCCTTGAAAAATGCCCCAAGATTCACTTCTAGGTGATCTTCCGACAAGAGGGAAACCCGCCGCCCTGCACCCCTCCTGTATTCGTACTGCCGCCCCGCATCCGTCGTGCCCGGCTCCGCGCAGATCATGGAAGGCGTGCAGCAAAAGCAGGCCGCAAAGGTTCGACTAGCGTTTCAGGCGGTAGACCCCGATCGCACAGGGTGTGCCAAGGCTGAGGTGCGAAGTGATATCAGCGCCGACTTGTCCTGTCCGTACGCATTCCTCGTGTAGATAGTGGCTAATGTATACGTTTCCTGGCATATACGCGTGAATCAGTAGGTGGCTACGACATGCTCACGGTTTCACGTGAATATCGGGTCAGCGTGAACCGTGGCACATACATGGAAAAGAAACAGTTAATGAAGCAAACAGTTGACCGTACGGCAATGTGCATGCCACGCCATACCCATGTTTTCAGCCTGGTACGGCATTTCCCTGGCAATGAGAAAATGATCCAATATTGGTGGCTACAGTTTTGAATCAGCAATATTTCGCAGAGCTGTGTCTGTACCAGACTTAGGTGGCGCATGACCACTGAAATTTGATTGTTGTGGTGTAGGCAAAAGAGGAATATTCTCAGCATCTCGGCCACGCCATCGCCGTCTCGTCAACCACGCTTTGGAGCGGGGTAAGCTGCTGTTTCGGTCAAGAGAAATTGGCTTGAAAAGCCGTTGGTCTAAATTCGGCGTTGTGAGTAGGTACACTTTGTCCGGCGTTGTCTGGCTAGATCACAAATATGTTCTTGTAGAAGAGATTGATGGGCCATCATTTGCGGCATCCCTTGCCGTAAGCGATCGACTGCGACCTCACATCAGTGGCGGCGAACAACCCTCCCTGCCCCCTCACAAGACACGTGACTCGCCCTATCCGAACTTCACATTTCAGGCGCTCTTGAGCGAATTGCACGCCAGGTTCAGTCGCAACGATGGGAGCCTTTTGCAAGCAGAATATCCTGATTTGTTGTCTGCAGTAGCGGACCTTGTTCCAGGCAACTCTCCAGATGGCGCTGCCCAAGACGAGCTTCGGAAGACACTGGGGCCGGAACAAGATCATGCCACACCCGTCACATGGGAGGAGGTGGGAATCACACACTTCCAAGGAGGTCCAGAGGGGGTAGAACTACTCGTATCGGCGCGAGAGTATTGAGCTTGATCGAGAGACGAGGGCGGTTATCGCGCAACTGATCATAGCTACCCTGGGCCGAATCTTCTGCTTCCCTCTTCCATCCTCTGCGGCTTTGTGTAGAACCGAAAAATTCCAGAGTATCACACAAGAAGAAATGGATACAGATTTAGGTGTCGTTTTTCAATTGAACCACACAAGTTGTCATGTCGCCGAATTCGCCAAATGCAATGATGGGATTGATACGGTCAGGTACTGGCCCTAATGGTAGCGGACGACGACGAGGAAAAGGTCGTCGAAGGGGGGGTGGGAGTTGCGCGGCAACGGCTGCGCTCGCTGCTCCACGTCCGCGTCCAAACCCTCACTGGAAGGTGAAGTGGAAACGTGCTCCAGATCCGTGATGCAACAATGTGCTTTCGGTCATGGATACAGAAGAACCGTTTCCTCTAGTAGTGCGGACTAACACGACCATGCTTTGGTCGAGAAGAGGTTTCGGTCGGAACCCTCTCATCGCGGCCGTTGAGCCGCTAATGCGACATCGCCGACACGATCCTCAAGGAAAGGCACAGATATCTTGTTTGTCAATGGCCTCGTTCACCGATTTTCTCCTGAGCGTATTAATCGGGAAACTTTCGTCGAATACCGTGTGCGCAGAACAAGTCTTGCGTAAGCTCATCCCGTGTCTTCCCTGTCGTATCTGGCTGTTTGCAACTGGAAACAGGTGCGAAACTCACACCAATCGGTTGTCGGCGGCGTGTAGAAACCTGTCAGAAGCACTGGCCGAGCTAGAAAGGTAATATAGATTACAATAGCGGTGGCGGTTAATACAATGGTAGCTTGCCCGCAATTGTCACTTCACATCACCCATGTGTACATCAGCCCAGTCATTGTCTAGCGGAGACTGCTTTCTTCCCATCGTTATTGCGTGCCCTCTATGGTGACAGATGGTCCAGTCATTCCATCCTTGCCCCAACAAGACCGCTCACCCCACCCCACCCCCGCCCCGCCTCGCCTTGATGCCAACCTTAACGTGAAACATGTCGCATAGGTTGGGCCTGGGGGAAGCCTCTGGCAGCGTTCCGGTGCTCAACGCTCTCACGGACGCCCTTGCCCTTACGCACCGGCGACACCAAGAGGTACCCAGCGCCGTGGTCGTCTGCTGGCAGCCACCACAACAGTAGCCGCATTTGTTCGCCGTTCGTTCAAGAAGATTCGGCACGACAGAGAAACAATGATAACGAAAAATCTGTAAACGTTTTGGTTTGCGATGCGGGAAACGTCCCCGTCAGGAGACGATCGAGCTTTTTTTCGGATGATATAACATCGCCAAAGACCGCGCCGTACATATGCAGGGAAAGGCACATCTGTGCTCTTATGTCGGGTGAAGCGCGTTCTAGGAACCAAAAAATCCTAGGCTCTAGGATTTTTCGGTGGTGAATAAACAACGGTTTTCACAGCCCATCATACAACAACGGCGAACAGATGTCAACGATCAAGGCGAAGCACCTCGCGGAAACGTGGATTCAGGGGAAGGAGGGGCAAGATCTGTGGAAGCAGGTGTGTGCTCTTGATCCGCACGTGGAATCAGGGTGCTTCGTGGTAGTGGGTGTCCCGGGGTGGGCACATGGACAGGTTCGAGGAGCAAGTGCCTTCGCTTATCCAATGAGCGATCACCAGTCTGCTCCACATACTTCGTTTGGAATAACCCAAACGTGCACATTGGCACTGACTGACTCATAGAGGCGAAGCATTTGTTGTTTTCTTTCTAATTGCGTTTATAAAATATTTCTCTTATGCCCGAGGGAAGAGAGAGATATCAAACTGGCAGAGAGCACGTTTCCCGCAGACACGTTTCTGCGACGTTTCCATCGAGCCTCTGACTCTCTCCCAAAAAAAAACTGTCTCTCTCTTCCCTCCAAACAGCAACTGAGGGTGCTCTCTCCTACGGTGGAAGAAAGCAATCTAACTCCACAAAGTAGTCTCGGATGACCAAGTCCCCAAAATGGTACCCTACCATTTTCTTCGCCTCACATACAGCTACAAAAGCCCAGATACTTGGGTCAGTCCTCTCTTTTCCTCCACCTTCGAAAGAAAAGGGGTGGGTGGGTGGGTGGGGAAAAACTCAACTTCCTGTCAAGTTCTGAGGCTGGCACACCACTAGAGGCCTTCTATGTGACCACCTCGCTAGTTGACAATACGGTGCTCTCTCTCTGGCACGCTAAGACTCTGTGGACATAAGGCTTGAACAGAATGAGAACACATGCGACTCCTCCTCTCGACCGAGGGGGGCCCACAGTACGCAATACGTTCCGTGTACCCCAACATAAACAGTATGGCAATTCGAGCTGTTTCAATAAACCTCGGTTTGTTTCGTCTACGCCTTTGTCTACGCCTTAAACAAACCTGCCCTTTTCTCGAGGACGAAAGGGGTGACCATGACTGTTTCCCCCACAACAATTGACCCGCGGGAAACAGGAGTGCAAGCGGCTCGTGTTGGAGTGCCGGCGAAGGCTAGAGGTCGTTCCACGTGCAGAGGTGCGAAAAGGGGGCACCAATGCTTCACGATACGTAGCAGCAGGGAGGCCGTGTGACGACCTTGCGCATCGGGACTGTACGTTTGAATTTCCCCTTCTTCATAGGCAAGTTCCGGTATTCTTTGCTACTCCCCGGCCGTGTTTCGTACTCCCAGAGTAGCGCTCCGGCTTCTGCTCTAGGGGCAGTGCTGCGGACCTCGAGCGTCTTCTTCAAAGCTTGCTTGTTGCCCCGCCCGATAACCAAGCCTAGCTCTGGCCATGATGTATCTGACCAATTCGGCGAAACCGACCAACAGTGCTTCCGCTCGCGATTCTCAGATTGAAGAGAGAACTTGGCAGGCACTGGTGGCGTACCGCTCGAAGGTCCTAACGCGGGAGCTCGGGGGGAAAGGAAAGGAACTCGACACTGCCGAAGACTATCTCGTGCGGTAAGCCTGTTTTTAGCGAGAGGCGACCGCTCTGCAGCCACACTTCACATTCAAACTTGGATCACGGTATCACTGAATCTTGCTCCATACCTGTTGTTGCAACAGAACTCATGAGATTTGAAACGTTGTGTGTATTCCAGAGCCTGGGAAATTCTCGAGAGCCGGCAAGGGAGAAACGACCCTGACGTGGGAGCAGCCTGCATTTCGCTTGGAAACCTTGCGGTAATTCGCCGCAGGTTGAACGAGGCTATCGACTGGTTCCGAAGGGCTCTGGAAACCTTCGAGGTGAAGAGGTTACGTCCGCAAAGCCCATTTGCGGAACCTGTAACCCATTGAACGTGGTTGAACGACTTCAAAGACGAAGAAATGTTGACAGAGATATGCCATGGATATCTCGCGAGCACGGCTGCAGCGGGCTCGGGGGTTGGGCATCATTCATGACCTATCCGATCGCGTGGAGCTTTTCATCTCGTTAGATTTAACACCATATATAGTGCATAGATACAGTTTCGACGTGAATGTTCATGCCGCCTCCAGGGTAGGCTGTCGATTGTTCAGAGTTCTCTCTCGATCCCAATCCAACACCATCGCATACAGGAGTGCTTCCGTGATGGATACACGCCGGTCACGGCCAGCACGGCCGTGGCTCTTGGCAACCTACTGATCAAACAAGGAGCAGCGGAGGCGGGAACACGAACTGCCCCTAACAGCCAGGCAAGAAAAGGGAAACAGTACCTGAAACAAGAACCGATTTCAATAAAGCCCAAGAGCAAACGATTGGCTCGTTGAAACGATGAATACCCGCCGACGCCACCGCTGGTACCCTCCGTGAAAGAATGCTGTGCACCTGATGTTGGACATATTGAAGTTTTCAGACGTGCGGACTCTCTTCCCACCTAGGGTGGTGATAGACGTACAGTGCCGACTCGACACGTCGAAACAGACAAGCGCGAGCTCACGTTGCCACTGCTGCTAGGAGGATCGCAGCGCCGAGCAACGCCTGAGAAGAGAGCCACTCATCCTGTGTGCTCCTCTTCATGCCCCTCCCCCACGTCATCCACAATTTGGCGCTTTTCATCGGGCAGGCGCTGGAAGAAGCGACTGGGCTGATGGAGAAGGCCGCCGCGTTTTACTCTGAGCGGGTGGCAACGGCCGCTGAAAGAAATAGAAGTGCCTTCGTACGTCAGGCCAATGTGAGCATTTGAGTGATCGCGTTGAAAAAGTGGGATGGATTGGGCGGCGACTCAAAGCAACTGCTTTCGGAATCTCGGTCTAATGTGTTGGTAATCCCTTCTCAATATTGAGGAAGCGCACGTGAGAAGAAAAGGCATTTCGAAAAGAACGCTGGGTCGTACAAGGAGTACCTGTTCCATTGGCTGGTGGATTGCAACGCTTGAATGTACACCCATGCTCGGCGGGAGCTTCCCCACGTTCACGCTCACGACCGCCAAGGTTGGAGATTCACTTCCAGCGTTTATGACTTGTAAATTGGTAATACCTATCGGCGTTAGTGTCTCTCTGCCAGAGCAGTAGACAACATTGCACGAACGAGCAGTCACTCAATCGCGCCAGACCCAGAACAATCCACGCGTTGTCAACAGGCGTTTCATTCTTTTTGTTGCTGTGGTGTCCAGGAGGACGCGTTTGCTTGGAGCGACTCCGACCCCGCAGGATCGAGGCTGGACCCGCAGACGGCCGACTTCGCTTGGCGCTCTGCAGAGCTCTGGACGCAAGTGGCCGGCCTGAGGGAGCTTGCCGTCGAGCACCAGCCCGGTCACCAGGAACGGTCTGCAGAAGACGCTGACCTCGGGAGACTTGCGGGGGCGCTAGAACAAGTAAGACCCTTGCAAGCTCGCGATATCACTTACCCAATTCGCACCGGAAAGCGTACGGGGAAGGCACGAAAAAGATCGATAGATCCAAGCAATTCCATAGTCCAGGACGTTGAATAGTCTTTCGCTCCGCGTTTTCAAATCCTTTTGCTTCAAGTTCACCACATGGCACTTCGTTGGTGATCGACGTCGTTTTGGTCGTGCAGGCTGCACGCTCCACTTCGATCGCTCGTGGCCCTTGCAGTGCGGCGCTTGGTCGGTTATGTCGAAGGCTAGGCGAGGTTCTACAGGTAGGTCGACCAAACCGTGTCCTCTTGATGTTGATTGCAATCACGGCACCACACATCAACCGGTCGCCCCGGTGGTCTAGTGGGTAGCCTCGCGGCCTGCTAAGGACCAGGTCGTGGGTTCAAGTCCCGACAGAGTGAGTTTTGTCTCGCTAATTAAATCCTGGTCTCCGTTGGAAGCGACGCGCTGCAAAGCTCGTCGTTAGTAAACTTGACCGACTTCATGAGTCGCGAAGGAAGGAATTGCTGTACCCTTCTCGCGTTGAAAATATCTCAGGCAGGAACCGCAGGAGGGGGTCCAACCGCCCCCTCCTATGTGACCCCGGTTGGGTCGTCTAGCTGGTAGAAGTGGAGGATAGGGACCAGAGGGGCAGACGACAGAGTCCAATGATGGGAGAAAACAAGCAACAACATCTAGACTGTTCTTGTGAAATGCAGCGAAATCCGAAAAAGAAATGTATCAAAGTCCTCCCGACATGAGAACCACAGGTTGGCAGAGGTCTGTGCAAGCTTTCCAATTTCTAGAATGAAACCATCACCCGAGCTGCCCTTGTACTGCCGATATTGCAACTGCTGTAAGGGCAACAATGAACCGTGATACGAACGTGCTGCACGTTTCGCACGACATGCGCGTCTGCACGCCTATCCACGCAGGAAGAAGGCCAGCACGCACGCGCAAGGGATGCTTTCTCTCAAGCTCGCGCGATATTCACCGACCGCTTCGGTAGAAGCGATCCTCGCGCGAGAGCCGCCGCCGCCGCCGCTGCCGAGGCCCACAGAAAGATTCCTCCCCCTTACCCGGGGGCTGGCCGTGCCTGTCACTCCCGTGTCGAGGCGCCAAGGTAGCGGTTCAAATTTTTGCTAGAACATGCAAGGCGGTACTGCTCTGGGGTCAACGGATGTTTCTTGCTTAAGCTGTTGAAGGAGTTGGCCGGGTATCGCGGATGTATTTGAGCGGGGCGGGGGTTTCGCGAATGCCAAGTCCACTCAACCGTTCTCTTCTTTTCGGGAAAGTTGGGGGAGATCGAAACAAACGAAACTATGCATCGCCATTGTGTTTGACCCGAGTAGAGACAACGGCGAGGGACCAAGTCGTAAATCCGTGTCGTAAGTCCTGCCAAGTTGTTGACATGGCATTGCCATCCGGAGGACGACTACTGTACGTACCGCTCGACGATGAAAATCGGCGCAGAAGCAAACGATGAGGAATGGGACTTGAAGATCACCGTCCAACGTGTGAACATTCCCTCCGACGACCGGGCAGCGAACATATTCGCGGAAGGAACCTCCCCCGGACACGCTTGTGCGGTCGCTGTAAATACGCACCTCCGCGTCACTTGGCGAGCCGCAAGGCCCGTTGCGTCGGCGCCTTACAATTTGCAATATAAGACCTGCGCAACGTGAGGCTGCTCCACTAGGACGGAATGTACCAGAACGCCGTCGTCAAGTGTCATCCGCCCGAAAGCGTCGAGTCGTTGCGCGCCGCAATGTTGGACGTACTCCGGCACTCGAAAACTCCGTCAAACGACACTACCGCTAGAATCTCTCTCGAGGGTCTCCAAACGCCGGACCAGCTCCTGGTTCTCGCGCGCCAAGAGCGCATTCTCCTGTCACGGTGTGAGGGAGAGTCGGCGAAAGATGGCAGTTATCAGAATCAACCAAACACGCAAGATTAAAACGAGGGGGGTGTGACCAAGTATCCTCTGACAGACGCACAAATATGAGCCTGTGCAATTGCTCGGTGGTCGGCAGCGTGCCCTCCGCGGCGACTACCCCCGAAGGTGTTTGAACCGTGTGGAAGGTATTCCGAGCTCCCTTGTCGGAAGCTCCCACGTGGTTTTGAAGCAGTGTCTCCGAAGACGTCGTACGGCGCGTGCAATAACAGTAAGAATTGAAAAAAAGAGGAACATTGTCTATTTTTGCCGGACCTGGAAGCATCAGACCGAGACGGTAGAAACCCTCCTCGACCCAAGTCACGTTTCCGGGCAATGTTTGCTTGCCTTGAGGAAGTATTGCGCATAATGTTTGCGGCAGTTTTTGGCCTTCGGGGTCATGTACAGTCCCCTAGACGATGTAAAGTACACAACGGTGCACGAGGTCACGTCGCAGGATTCTAATACGAAAAAATGTTTGTGCCAGCCTTTGACGTGCCATAGAACACACATCTCAATGATAATCCAATCGGACGCACGTTGATGGTCGTCATCGGTTTGTGTCCCATGCCTATCTACCTCCGACACTCATTCGATTTCAAGTCGTGTTGCAAACCAAGGCCCGGAGTACAGACCGTATGTCATTGCCAACGCGGGAAAACCCAATGCTGTAGCTTGTTTTTACACCTTTCGCAGTTGTGCCGTCCGTTCCGCCTCGACCGTCAGGGCATTAACGCGGTCCGAGAGCTTCCCCGTGAGCGTTACCCACTCTTGAGCCTCTTCCGCGAATTCACGGCCAAGGCTACGCTCCTCTTGACACTTTTCCTCCAGTCGCTGAGATTCCTGAAGAAGAGGCCAATTAGGGTGCGGAGATTGAGACCGTGTGCATGTCTAGCTTGGAGGTTGTTCACGGCGATGCTGTGGCTAAGATCAATTCGCTATCGTCATCTTTTGAAGGCTGTCAACGCAGAACTTACACTACTAAGCGCTCTGCATGACAGAGAACGCGGCTCATGGGGCTGGTTGGTTGCGTTTGGGTGGGAAGCAGCCGTTCCTGGATTAAAGGTACAGTTCCGAGAATACATCGAATGCCTGGGCCATGTGTCCAATCTGAAAGGTGGAAGAAATGAAATCGGCATCCACGGTCACGTACAGGCTTGGCTTCTCACGCCATTACGGCAGCACCCACAGAGCACGTAAGAAGGTCATCGATTGACAAATTACATTCAGAAAGTGTGGCTACCTCTCGAGAATTCCGCGGCATGGTGTCACATGTCTTCATTAATCACGTGGTCAACGACACCACGGGGGACACCTCCGAAGCCACCTTATCAGCAAGCATTTCCGAGCTTTGGAGCCTGCAGTCGCTCACCTGCATCGCCTCCCAAAGCATTTGGTCCTTGACACTCAGGGCATGCTCGTAGCGATCTGCTCGTCGTAGAACCTCGAGTCTTTCCGCCGTCTCGTGCTGGCAAGCGCACAAGCCGAAAAGGTTTCAGTAATATTTGGGGAGCATGGCACACCTCCACGAAGCTTGGGTGCTTCGTTGCCGATTCTCGAGCCGACTAGCTCACACTATCCCAATATCCACATTCTTGGCGGATCTTCAAAGGCCAGTACAATCTTTTGTCACGCATACGACCGAGGGCGAAACATATTCCGTTCTGCTGGCGAGGTAGATTGCACCGCACTGCTGTCCCCCTTTGCCCCTGTGGTTGACGTCCGACCTTCACCGACAAACCTACTACAGCCCGTACGATTGAGATGGAGACGACGTTACAACCCAATAAAGTGTGTGAGGCGTTGTGTCTACGACTTGACAGGTCTCGGTTGCAACGCTCTCCGAACCATCAAAACCGTCACATCCCGTCAAACTGCCTTTCGAACGCACGGCCATGATGAGAACTACCGGCAATGGTGCCCACCGGGAAATCATCGGCTTGCACGTCGATGGTAGGATCGAACGGCTTGTTCGCGACTCGGTCGATGGAGTTGCACAGCTCTCGGTAGGACTGAACCAACTCTACCATTCTCTCCGTGCCTTCGAAGTCGGTTGCGCATCTGCAAAGAAGGACATCAGCAGGAGCGTGATATGAGGTACTGCTTTTCGTTGTTGGCTGTGGTATGCACTGTTGTTGTTGGCGGTGGCTATCGTGACCACGACAGAGATATTGTCTTTCTGCAGTAAAGCAACCAGAAAGGACTTCAAGTATCCGTCATTGATGGTGTCGAAGACATATTGACGTGTGTGCAAGAATATCGACAATTGGGGCCGACCAAAAACGTGCGAAACGTCAACAACAACCTCCCTGGGCTACTCACAACGCATCTGATCCGGTACTTCCACCATGCTTGGAGGAGTTTCCATCATATCTTCGCGGTCTCGTGCACGGTGACTGAGCACGTCAGCGTCAACTAATATCAGCGGGGCCCAGTCGTCGCGTTTCGACAACAAATCGACTGTCTCAATACTCCAGTGTGATACCGGGGCGGGTCACCAGCGTGGATGGACGTACACTACGTGAAAACGTTAACGGCGCCCACAAAATTCCTTCAACTACTTTAGCTTCTTCCGTTCCGAAACAGGAACCGACTCATTATTGCCGAAGCTGGATGATGGGCGAGCGACCGTGGGCACAATCGTACGAAGACCAAGGTGCCCACGAAAAACGGCGGCACTTGCGCCTACCCGCCGGAAGGAGCACCCCGCCGTAGACGTACATGTACTGTAGTGTAATGTTTGCTACAATCCCGAGGTCCACATTCCGTCACGCGTCGAAACACATTTCCACGATGCGGGATGTGTGTGACCACGGCAACTAAAACCATTCCAACCCCCGCTCTCTTCCTGGTAAACTCACGTTGCCGAAGGAGACATGTTGCCGGGCGTCGAAGAAGACAAAAGGGTAACCCTAGCAACCTGAAGCGATGAGACCGGCACAGCATTCAGGACAAGCCACGACAACAAGATATGTAGGTCGACACGGGGTTCCTTTTTATGATCAAGAGACAGAGAAAAGGGCCCTTACAAATCAATGAAGCTCAGTGCCTACTCATCCACTGAGGAGGGCAAGGCCGGTGAGTGGCACAGTGAAAAGAGGTCGTTCGATGCCCGGTGGAGTGGTATCGGCATCCAATAGCGCAGAAACCTTTACGTAGACATGGATGCGCATTGTTGTGTTCGATACAAAGGCACAGAGCAAGAAAGTGTGGCCTCAGGGCTGGGCCCAGGCAAAAGAGCATCTGAAACAAGTGAAGTGAAGGTTTCACGTGAAGCCACATACACTAGGTCCATAAGGACTCGGCAAGCGGTCTGCGAAACGGCTACGAGTCAGCAGCGGCGAAACCTTCTGCAGTCAGGAGGAGAGTTCGTAACCCTTCGTCGTGATGCTGTTCTCGCGCAGGGTTCACAACCACACCTGATCGGACAGCTTTTCGACTCCTTCAAGCTCCGCCGTGACGCTGTTCACTCCCTGAGTTAGCATCGCCTGCAGGGGGGGGAGGGCACTCAAAGTCGTGCATGCCGTAGTCGTTAGACCATTGACCTCGCATCCCTACAAAGCCGGGACGGTGCACGCCGGGTTCTCACCCGGCCAGGCTCTCTCATCACCAAGCGCGAAGCGCCGTGAGGTGTTCGGCGAGTCGCATAAAGGGTGCGCTGCATCCCGCTAAGGGTGTTCGACATCATGTGCATACTTCCTTGCGTACTGATGACAGCAGCTGCGTATGACTTAATTTATTTTCTGGTGCTTTCACTTCCAGAGGCAGTCATAAGCATTGCGTAACTGCCTCGAGGGTGTTTGACCAATTTATACCAACGTGGTGCGATCATCCCGTTTGCGCAGAGTGAGGGTTCTCGACCCCGCACAACACTATCTACTCGACCACCATGATGGTTCCCGAAATAACGAAAAAAGACAGCGGCAAAAAAACAGAAACGGTCACCTGGTTGTCGAGCTCGCGAAGTGATCGGCTTGTTTTGCAACGTCGTTGCCAAGCGATATTAGGTACGTGGCAATGCAACGGGAACGGCGTCATAAACTGCAAGAACGGTCAGCAACACCACCGCCATCATTCACGGAAGCAATCTGAAGTTAATTCGCCGCTCCAGCACGTCCTGCCACCCCCTCACCTGCTTGAGAGTCTCGGCTGATCGAAGCCTCTCAACGATGGCCTCAGCGTCGGCAAGCGTCTCCCGCTCTATCGCCGCTCTCGCTGCCCTGAGCTCTTCGCCACGGCCGTGAAGCCGCCTCCGGAGCTGCAACAATCTCTCCCGAACCGGCATCAGCCGACTAGACGCTAAACTCTGGAGGGAAACGTTTTGTTCAGTGGCCGTAGCCGCAGCGGCGGGTGGGCGGACGAGCGGGGGATGTGAAAATGGGAACATAATCTGAAATTACAACTCCATCTACAGGAACAAGAGCATCGCGTGGAATTCTCGGTGTTTCTATCGACTTGGCACGTAGGCCCTCCACGCACTGCCCCAGCACAACCGAATCGGTATTATCTGCACACGGTGTGGGTTCAAGGTCCGGTACAGGTGTACAAAAGGGGGTACCACACGCATCCATGACAGTGGTGCCCGCCAGAACCATGAGCCAGGGGGTGGATATCTCTTCGAGCGAAGCTTCACATCGGAGCCAGTGGCCCCTCCTGGTTGATCGGGCAGAATGCGCTTTTCTAAATACATGCTTGGTTGACAACCTCCACGCCGCGGGGCACATCGCTACCCTTTGCGCGGGTTTCGGGCGAGGTGTTGTCTATTGTTTTCGGGCCAAGAGCGAGACGTTCGACGTTCGCCTTGGGCATTCCACTGGACGAGGTAAAAAAATACGTCCCGAACACAAACCGCGCCGCCGCGTGTCGGGCGTGCTAGCAGGAGGCATGCAATCACGCTCCTCCTCGCCGCACCCACTCATACCATCAATGTCGATGACGGGGGGCGGTCGTCTCACAAAGGTAGCAAATCATGGTATTTCGATTCTTGCCGATTGCCGGTACATGAAGCAATTGCTACCCATTGGACGTGGCTGAATCAGATATTTAGTGTCATCAAACTTAATGGCCGTAGCGGAAATGGGGGGACGAGCAGGCGTGAAGTGGGTGAGACATGTCGCCAATGCGTTGTTCGCACCGTACCTGAAGCCGGGACAGCCGCCGACTGTACGCCTCGCGAAGGGGAACCACGGTGTGCCCCAGTGCCTGCTGAGAGGCTACCGCCTCGCGGGCCAAAGGAACTCCCGTAGTCTCATCGTAGTGCGTGATCGAAGGACCGGCCGGCGACGGAGGCACCGCTGGTGGAGGCGGCAGCGGTTGTGGTGCTGCGGATGGAGCGTTGCCGTTGTCCCCTTCTCCCCCGCGGCTGCCGCGCCTGGTACCATCTCCTCCCCTCTCCCCGACCTGCTCTAGCATTCCTCCTACCAGACGCTCAAAGTCGGCTCGACCGAGCCTGCCATCTCCGTCGGTGTCGAACTTCTGAAACAGTTTCCCAAACTGTAGTTGAACAGTAGTAGGAAAGGGGTCAGAAGGACCGTGTTGTACAACAGGTCGGGAAAACAAGTTCCCTGCGACAGTTTCGTTACCATGTCAAAATAATGGGTTTGAAAATATTGTTTCGGTAGGTACATGACTGGAATCCTCGAGCCAAATCATATTTTTGGTGGCACAATTCACATTAAGCAAAGTGTGTGCATTTTCTCCATCAAAGCCTGTATAGCACGGAGGCCCCTTGGGTCAATTTCGAAGGAAAACAAATTGGAAGGGATTCCTTCGACACATCACCGATTTTGGACGGACCTATTCCTTGAAGACGGCGAGGAGGAGAGGGAACCACCACACAACAAGGGTCCTCGGCTCTCGGGTGCAGGCTAGAGGTAGGGGTAACCCAAACTCAACGACACAGAAACACAAACCAGGGCAGACGCCACCAACAACAGCGACGCATATTTTTCTGGCATTTACGTAAGTCTCGACGACGCTCACCTCAAAAATCTTCTCGGGGCCCACCCCGCCACCCCCTTCTTCCCTGCGTCCCTCCCGCCGGGCTTCCCCACCCGGTCTGCTGGCCTCTTCTCGTCCCCCGACGTCCCCTCCGGGTGCGGGGTCGGGTTCGGAAAAGAGATGTTCTCTTTCTCGCCACACCCGTTGGAAGTCTTTGGCGTCGACTCCCCCATTTCGGGCGAATCTTGTTTGTGAGGACAGCATTCGACAGGCAGTGTCGTGTGGGGGCGTTGGGGACGAAAGCGAAATTCGTAACAACTCTTGACGTCGGGAATTCCTTGCGGCGCATGTTTTTTCACGGGGGGGTTCGACACGTCTGGTAGACACCTTTGAGGCTACCCAAGTCGCCATTCACTATGGTAGGCGAAGTTGTCTCGAGTACATGTTGCAAACAGTTTTCCATAGCCGTGACTGTGGTCCGCAGCTCCTGTACAGCTACTTTCGCGATGCCGATGTAGCAGTAGATACGCATCGCGGCAAAAAATGTCCGGAGCTTCCTATTGGTTGGAGGAGGAACCTGTAGTCGGCAGACCAACCCTCTTCTAACGGCTTCGAACCCACTAGACCGACCACCCTATGGTGCACGCACTCGCAATGCGCCCGGTAAACGAAGATGAAATGTGGCTGGGCCCAACCAGAAACCGGGTTCACTTCTGTAGACTAACGTAGTCGGTTCATGGGTCACTCACCTTTGAAACAGAAGACCGGCTTCGAAATCTGAGCTAGGTTTTGGGTCTTGCTGATGTGCTACCGATGGGTGCGGTTGAAGCACCGGTGGGGGCACTGCTGTAGCTCCCGCTGCTACTGCGTCGGTGGCGTCGCGTTGCTCTTCCCTGCCGGCAGCCCTCTTTCTGGACTTGCTGGGGCTCTTGCTCTTGCTGCTACGCTTGCTGCTGCTCTTCTTCTTTTTCTCCTTACGCGAATCTTTTTTTGATGACGACGAAGAAGACTTTACCTTACTGCTGCTGCCGCTGCTCTTCTTCTTCTCCTTCGTCGACATGGGTTATTAGTTTCTACAATATTGGCTTCGTGGGCTGACTTGGTCGGCAAAAGTGTCCTCGCTTGCGCGAATGATTTTGCCCCTGTCGGATCTCGTCTCCTTTCCGCCTTGTCACCATCACCGTTGAGCCACGCTAGCATCTATCTCCCCGAACCATTGCCTTATTCTACGCCCCAGACGTTGTACTTCGCAGAAAGTCGTCGTACCTTGCGGAACTATCAGATCGAAAGGTGCGGACTCGCACACTCCGATGCCGACCGAGAGCTTTGCCCGTTGTTTTCGAGAAGATTTTCCACAGCAGAGGGAGGTAACACCCTGACCATAAAACACGTGTGGGTTCAAGTGCAAGGAATAAACACTACCTCGACCAGCTTCCCACGTGAATACCAGTAAGGATCTCAGAGACCGGTCTTCCTGAGCGGCTGGTGCTAGATTAGAAGCCGCCACAATCACTCAGCCGCCACAATCACTCCCCACTTGCGGCCTGCACAAGGATCCATAAAGATTTTCTCGGCGGGATTTCGTGAATCATTGAAGAGGGAGTGAGTAAAATTCTTGTTGCCCATCTGCGAACCCCCTGGCACTTCGTTCGGCGAGGGCGGAGCTCTTGACTTGTTCTGGCTGGAACATTGCCGAGGGCAGAGAACAGCCAGGATACAATGGACCGACCAGTGGTTGCGAGAGCCACTTCAAGTGATGACTCCCCGGTCCCGGGGTACTTGTACGGAGAAATCGCGCAGATGACGCACGCGAACTTCGAAGGCTGCCGGCAACTCACAGTCTACCTTCTGGAGCGGATCAAGAAGCCCAACCACAACATAAAGTTCAAATGCCTGCGGATCATAAAGGTGTGAGGGACGTGTGTATAGAGAGTTGGCGATGCGTAACCAGCATCACTGTGTGTGGTGCAGGTACTGTCGCGGCTAGTGTTTGCATGGAGGGGAACAGCCTCTTCTCGGTGGGGATGCTGCGGAGCAATACCGATGATGTCGTGATCGGACATGGAACAGCAGCGGGAGGATCACGACATAATATAGGGCCGGCGGCTCCTGCTCCTGCTGCTGCTCCTGCTGCTGCTGCTGCTGCTGCTCTGCCTGCTGCGATCTGTTCTGCTCTCCATGCTGGAAACATCTCCTAGGCCGAACAAACGAGCCGTCCCCATGCGAAAGCCGCCTGGCTACTGTCTACGATTGTGTGCACGTTGTAGCGCCGAAGTATCTGAGGCTTGGAACCAAGCAGATGGACTGCTGTCGGGTAGTAGGCACGGACGCCGAACGCGTCGTCGATCGCCGCCGAAAACGCTTGAAAGTTACACGATACCCGCACTTTGATTAAACCACTCCGGTAGTGTGCCTTGGGCGTTAGACAAGACACCCGCCAATGCCCCTGCTGGGCGTAGGGTAAAGACTCTTTAGTCTTGCGATTTGGTTTTTGCTTAAGAATACAGACCTCCACCCTACGCACCGTCATGCTCTGAGAGAGCAACCACCGTACTGAACCGATGCGTGGCTGCCCGAGCTTCACTATGGGGCGATGTTCGATTGGAGCGGTATTCAGTGCGCTATCCTATGTGGAACGGTTTTCAGTCTGCGTACAGCAGATGTTGTTGCTGCTTGTGGGAGGACATGGTGTGGGCTTCGGCTGGAGTATGGTATCTTCTTTGCAGTCGTCACATGGTCCAAAGGTACACCCTTGTCAGCGCAGACCCTGAAACTACATGAAGTTTGTATACGGACAGTATAGTAAACCGAAAACAGGCGGAGACACTTCTTGCTCGGCACCATGCTGGTGTGGCTACATACACAACACGTTGGTTAAAACCCCGTGGCCGCGCCTGGGGGAGTATATTGCCTTAACTCGCGCGTCATCGCTTGCTGGACGAAGGCAGGAAGGGAGGTTGGGTTTCGTGTGGAAAGTGATGGAGGAACCGCAGGCGTTGCCCGCCTCCCGGGTATAGTTGTCCCCCCCCGCGCGCCTCCAGCCAGGCTCACGAACACCGATCTGCACTCCCATTGTTTGCCACTGGTAAATGTCGGCCATGATGTCCATGTTCGTTTTTGTGTTTATTGGTAGAATTGGTGTTGTCCCTTGTTCTGCTGTGGGACGCCTGGGGTTACTTGTTGGTTTCCCTCGGGTGCCCCGCCGCCGTGGCGTGGGAGGAAGAAAGAATTCCTCTGTATCGCTTTTAGTCCGCCTCCCCCCCCTGGCAGTAGAAGCATCCATCCCCACACAGCAGTGTAATGGTGGAAATATATAAACACAAAGAGAGCTTTTGTTCTCGCTCATTTTTTTTCCCCCGGGGGCAGTCCTGGCTCCTTCCAGCTTATCACGCGACGAGAGTTCGGCAGTCTCTCTCTCCCCCCTCTTGGTTTTTTTTTCAATGTGCTCACAAGTTCAGCAGTCGTGGTCCTGCTTTATGTGCCGGGCCGACCGGGCCGATTCACCCGCCCTAATGTTGTTGTCGTAAAACAAGACGTTCCGGTCTCCGCTCAGTACCTTCTGCTCAAAAAAGAGTACAAGAAAAAACTGGTTGTTCTCTGCGTATCTGTGCCAAGAGATTTCGCCCGCCCTACAGTAAGAGCAGTTGTTATGGTCTCTTACCCCCTTGACAGACGTGTCAAGGACGAACTCCTACACTATAACTAGTTAACTTCCCGAAAATACGCCCTTTGCTGTTAACTGCCATCTCTTGCCCTACTGTAGTAACCCACCCTATAGATGGACCCCGGAGAGCCGGCGCTGTTCACTTGTACACTTGTACACATTGCGAGCTTTGTCGCTCTCCGGGGAAATTCGAGCCCGACGCCTATGCCGGACAGTAAATGCTTGCGATGGGGCTTCGTATCAGCTGTGGAGAAATGGCGCTTTGTATTTCGGTCCAGGGGGGGCGGGGGGTATCCTCTGTATTCTACGGTAGTCTCCATCCCATAGATCCCTCGAGCCATCGTCTGAACAGCAGCCGTTTCCTACCGCTCGGTGTCCTCTCGTGCTTGTGTGTATGCGTTGCGCGAAAAAAAAAAGCACGTGTGCATGAAAGGCAGGGCGGAGTTCAAGATGTCCATGCAGCGAGAAGCCCAGCTGATCAAGGACTGTCTCACCTTCAATGGACCCCCGGATCCCCTGAGAGGGGAAGAGATCTACCGAAGGTGAAAAGATGAAAATACGGCATTGATAAATGAAGTACTCGAAATGTAACGTGCCATTCAAGGATGAACATGCCGCTGTTTTTTTTGTTGTGGCGGGGGAGGGGGGTAGGGGAGATGATGAAAGGAGCGGTTGCTATGTTGTGGCGGTACGAAAGTGCTTCTGGTTTCGGGCGAAAGCTGCTGTAAAGTGTACAGCCAGCGTTTGCACGTCCACTTAAATCGAATCTCACCGCAGAGGTAGGTTTTACTGTGTTCCCATGACTGATTCCAATTTTCGCACGTGCGTGTGTGTGTGTTTCTGCTCTGGATTCTGTCAGGGTTCGCGAGGCGGCAAAGGAAACCTTGGAGGCCATTTTCGCGGAAAATCCCCCTGCAGGAGCCCTTGCGGCTCCCACGAGGTACTGCCGTACTGTACTCGGTCTCCTCCGACCCTATGGGAAGCTTGTAGCCTTGTGCCAGTGAATGCTTCCATCATCATTACTATCCATTTAAGTTTGTCTCCTTTGGTGAGCCGGTATGATTTGCACCTTGTGTTTCGTGCTCGCTACCATCTAAAGATGTAGTACACATCCGAGCTACGACCGATATTTTCTCAAGATATTTTGAAATAGTATCGGCCTACTGGTTGGCGAATCACATTGCCTCAGTGTTGAACGGGTATGACCGGAGCACCTTTTGAGGCTCCGGCGATGTGACCGCACCGGGGTGTATGTATGTAGCACGCATGTCGTCGGCAAAGGTCTGGCTTCGCCTTGAATCGAGGCCGCGCGTTCGACGTCAATCGGTGACATGGAGCGCTGCCACCAAAATTCGAAACGCTAGATCAGATGGTGTTTTTGGTCACGGTGACATCC